GGGGCAGCGGCGGGGCCGGGGGGGGACGGGCTGAGCCCCGCGTTAAGCCCCGCAGCTGCTTCACGAACCGCTGCTTCTGCCGCCGCAGAAACGGCCAACAAAAACTCCACCTGCCACAAAGGCGACGAGGTCCGTGACGCTCGTCCACCTACTGGTATCGTTCAGAAGAGGAGTAACGCTGAAATTAACGCTTTGTAAAAAAAAAAAAAGAACGACAAAGCTAAAAAGCCCCTTCCCTTAAGCAAAGCTTTAACAATACCGGCGGCGAGGCACCAAGAGCGCAGGGTGCCTTTCCAGAGGGGAAAAACCCCACGCTCGCCCACAACAGAAAACACACCCGACACACGACGCTCGGCGAAACGAAACCATTACCTTCGTAGCACAGAATGCCAATATTGTTGTTCATCTTGTCCAAGTATTGGTAGTTCAACAGGTCCATCTTCATAAATAGCATTTATCGGGCTAGCAAAAAAGACCAGCTCGTTTGCTGTCGCCCAGGTTCAGGGAGAAGAGGGCCGGGCAAATGGTGCCGAGGACGCTCCCGGCTTCCTAAACTTCAGCAGGCCCAGCCTTCAGCTAATCAAAACAAAGTGTGTTAAAGGAGAGTCGGAGGGATTAAAACACACACGCTCTCCCTTCCAAACTTATGAAAACTAAAGTACACTGGGTCCTTCAACACAAAGAAGACTGTCTAAAAACTTTTCAAGTCTTTTTCCAATTAAAAAACGAAAAACAAACAAAAACAAAAACCAAAAAAACCAAAACAACCAAAAAAACCAAAACAACCCACGGAGTCAAAAAAAAAAAGAAAAGAGAAACGAGGGAAATTTCCTAGGACAAAGACACACTAGTTCTGCTCACAGCCCGCTGCAAGTTAACTGCACTGACATGCAGGCTATGCTTGGTATGACTCGTATGTAAACCAGCTTCCTCTCGCTATCAGGCGGGGAGGACTGAGCATGCTCAGTGAATCCCTGGAGCTCCTCAAATGTCAGGGATATTTTCTGCACAAGATCAGTCTCTAAATGCACCGAGTGTTTGAAAGCAAGGGGAGGCGGCGGCGGAGAGCCCGCACAGCCGGGCTCTGGGCACAAGGGGCCATCTCAGAGCCGCGCCTGGCAGGAAGCGGGGCTGCCGCTGCCCGGCGGGAGGAGGAGGAGGACGAGGAGGACGAGGAGGACGAGGACGAGGAAGCAGGGGCTGCCCGGCCAGCCCAGGGGCCTCCTCTGGACACGGGGCAGGAGCCGACCCACCGCAACTTCTCGGTCGGGCTGCTGAGCAGGAGACCCGAGCGAAATCCAGCTGTTTAAAATCAGTTCTCTCTCTTAAACGTGTTACTTAATAGCCTAGCGTGGCCTCGGACGCATCCCAGTACTGTTAGCAGTGAAAAATAATGCTGGTTTACGGTAATGGGACAGAACGGCAGGTCTGGTATGATAAAGGCAATTAAACATTAAAGAAATGAGGTACAGCGGGTACATCTGTACGCATACAGACAGGCACTGTGTACTCACATGCACACACCGCTACAATTCAATCGGTACACTATTACGTTTGATTTTTTTAAAGGCTATTGGCAGTTAAACTTTGTGTCCTGGATTTTTAACAGCTGCTAAAGGTCCGGTTTAGATGACACAAATGACGGAGATCTTTACAGCAGTTGCTCTCATCTCAGGATGTGGTCTGCCCTTCTGCAGTCTGAACCTTGATCACAAAGACTCTAGCTGCTTATACAGATGTGTACGACTCATTCTAAGAGGGCAGAACATCTGTAAGGGTGGAAGCATGTGCTAACCTAACGGGTATCAGTTTGCATTTCCTGTGGCTGATCAGCACCTGCAAGTCTGATTTGACAGACAGAGAGAAATAAATACTGGGGAGGTTTGGTCTAAGACAAACAAAAAAAAGCTAATGGAGTCCTAATCTTCCCTCTGCCCTCTTCGGCTTGGAACATAACTCATCCCTCCCTTTCTGGGATGGAGAATTTTAACGGTACACACAAGAGCAGACAGTTGGTGAGAACCAGTAACAAACTCATTTCCACCTTGAGAATTTCTCCCCTCTGTTAGGAAGGGGAAGATACTACATCAGAGAGGCAACTCATGGAGTGACATTTGGTCAAACTATTTTGAAAAGTACTGCTTGAATGCTCTGGATATTTCAGTGAGACTAGGTAATTTACTTAAATTTCCTACTGATAAATAGGAGTAAGAAACTTATCTCCAAGGAAGATTCCCTGTAACCCAAATAAGGTTTCTCCTCACTTCAAATACATAAAGTAGTCCTCTACATTATCTACCTCTATGCTTCAACTGAAGGAGAATCTCCATTAACAGTGCTGAATTCAATACAGCAGGAAACAAATTACCTGAAAGGAATTCTGCATTGCTGGGAAGATGAAGGTCAAGAAGCCTTTTATTGATTATTTATATGCAACAAGGGCACTCTCCTAATTGGAAGCGCTATTCATCTTTAAGACTTTAACATGGCATAAAAACTGATGGGTACTTAATGCTGAGGTAACGGTACATTTCTTGGATGGCACCTAATAAAAAGGTTGCCAGGGTTTTTTTGCCTCACAGGATTTGTTACCACAAAAGCTGCAACCACACCTCTTCAGACCAAAGTAGTGCATGGTATTTTCTAGAAAGATAAATGGCTTTAATAAAGAGAAGAACATTATGATTTTTAAGCAGAGGGACTAGAAGTTTTACACAGCAGATCATGTTGTACATACTCAAATTCAAAGATATTCTATATGAATGCTTCAAATTAAACCAGCCATTTAATAAAGGCATCAAGAGAAGTCTTAGCCCTTTAAGATATAAACTGCAATAAAAATCCATACCTACAACATGAACAAAAGAGGGGCACATTTCTTCAGCATGAAACACAAGTTTCTTACGTAACTATGCCACAGCTTTTGGGGAAAATATTTCTGCTATGTACAGTTTTTAATATAGAGAGCATCCCTGAATTTACAGCAATACAACACACTTTATGGATGCTTGGGAAGGATAAGAAGAGATAAGTATTTAATTTTTCCAATTTAAAATACTTGAATTTTTGCAGGAAGTGCAGGTGACAAGGAAGAAAAAAAAGCAATATTCTAAACTTCTTTAGAGCAGTGGTCTACAAGACAGGATTTGCACATAGCATGTTAGCTACACAAGAGCATTATAGTTCAAAGTCCAATATAAATTCCCCTCAATATTCAAAGATATGTATTTCTTCAAGTTGTCAGGAAAAGCAAGGTGGGGTATTGTCTACAAATCACTGACTGCTCAGTAGTGCTGTCCAGACACTAATAAAGCAGTTAAGTCTTCTTTATTAGACCAGTAGTCACCGGTCTACAGGTTTTTAGACGGTAGTGATCGCTTTATCATGTGAATGGCTTTCAGCAGTACGGTATACACTATGATTAACACCTGTCAAATGTTGCATAATGAACTTAGATGCTTCACCTTAAATAATAATAAACTGGTACCAAACACTGGGAGCTTTATGAATTTCTAAATTAAAATATCTATACTGAAAATAAGGCAATGCCTAGTGAAAGAATAGGGGGGTAAATTATCAATGTAAATGTATCTCAAGCATTCTAAAACCAAAATCCATTCACAGGAAGCCTTTCTTTGAAAGAAAACAGCTCAACAAATTCAAGTCCAGCAGACATTAACCTTAAATAGGTTACAGGGTCACTGTAAAGTACTCTGTTCCTGGCAGCAAAGAATTCCCAACTACTTGATTCGAACTGCTGATCATCAAAACACTTCACCAATTTGAGATACCTCCCATTGAACTGAAATCAATAATCAATGCATCAGCAGCTTAGATGCAACATACACGGAAAAACAAGTTATTAACATCACCCCAGGACCTTTGTTATAGTTCATTCTGTTCTTCTACATATTGATGGTTGCAAACACAATTATGTGCTGTAGTATCTCTGCTTCATATTAGCTAGAGTACTTCCCATAAGACTGCACACATGTTTCTTCTGTAAGGCAGATAAATACCCAGATCTGTATATAAAATATTTGAAACACTGGCACTTTTAACACAACAGCATCCCCTAGAGGTAACTGAAAATCCACACGTGTCTTTCTGGATCACTCGACTTCACATCCAAGTACATTAGATTTGATTCCAATTATCCCACATAGCAGATGAGATCGTTCAACCTCTTAGTGATCTTCTGCTTCACTTTAATACGAAAAGGAAATTCAGTCTTCACACAAGAATGTCTTATCACAGAAGTATTCTGAGGCAAGGAAAGCAAACGAGGGGAAAAGAAAAAAAAAGGGGGCAGTTCTAATAAGTAGGTGAATCACCATTGTCAAAACTAGGAGGCTAAAGATGTATTTTGACAGCTAGTCCCTGCATTAGGGTGAAGTTTGACAAGATTTCTGTGCTGCTCTTCTACAATTCTCACAGTAAGAAAATATCAAAACTCCTCCTCTTGGAGAAAACAGCGGTATGCTTACAAAAGTAGTGTGAAGCAACTGGTGCTGTGGCCTCAACCATCTACACTCCACGTGTTTTCTTTGAACTGGCTTACATCTGGTCAGATGGACCAATGTCCCTGGGCAGCTGGAGCACATCAGGGACACTCTTGCTGCACTTCTTTCAGCTTCTTTTCATCTGAACAGAATCTAGTTTATGGCTGAGACCACTGTGATGCAGACCAAAGAAGGGCAATCAGGAGATTCACTCTGAAAGCGAACATCTGCCCCCTAAAGCACTGATGCAGATATACCAATGGCTGATGAGAAGAACAGAGCATTTTTCCAATTAAAAAAAAGCTTGAGAAACTTACCTTTTCAAAGAATTACAGTGCATGTTATGAATGTAGTAAGTTACTGTGTCATTGGTTCCTAAATAGTGATAAAACTTTTCCACTATAAAAATATTAGTCCTGGCTTATTTGAGCAATAATAGGACCTAACAAAAATAAATCCTTACAATTGTGTATTATTTGTTTACCTGAGTTTTTGCAGGAAAAAACAGCAATTCCTTAATATATCACGTCCATAACATCAGATTTGACAGTGAGAGTTTATATCTTTTTTTACAGCGCTTAAACATATATTGAGCTATCTTAGAACAAATGTTTTCAAGCAAGCTACTATGGAGCACTCCATTCTGCCTCCTCTCTGCTGTCCTCAGCCCTGTCAGTCTTCTGCCTCTCTGCCCCCGTGTCCTCCCCTTGTCTCTCCTTACTCTCTTTTCTCCCATGCTTGCCACTGCCTCAGGCAGTAGCACTGAAGAGCCTGAGAAAACAGTTTTGGTGCAGTTTTACTAGCTTGGTCTACACTCCATCCCACACAACATCCTTCAGTGGGAAAGTGCACGACACCGGCCAAGAATCAACACCACAGAAGAACAATGTGCGAGCCATTCACTTGGACACAACTGAAATTTCACCCTTGATGACAATCAGCAAAGAGGAACTATTTCTACAGGGACCAATTTTGCAACCGAGAGAAAAAAAATACAGTCTTTATAGAGGCGAGACACACTGATGTAAGGCACCATACAGTATTGCTCAGTATAATTCCATTTTTTAATGGACAAAAATATCTGTTGCAGCTCCTGAGGTCAGACAGGCATCGATGATACACCACCTATTAGCTGATACCTCAATACGTCCCAAGAAGGAGGTGGAGGAATACAGCAAGAGTACTTAGATACAGGCTTTACCTTCTTTCTTTAAGTAAAAAATGAGCAAATTTTAGTTAACAGCTGCTAGGTGGCAATGTGCCTGAAGGAAAAATACTGCTTTTCCTTTTTCACACACTCAACTGCAGAGTTGCTGCATATATCACCTCGATTTTTATTATTTCAGTTAGAATACATTTCACAGAAAAAAGTAAACAAGAAAATCTCATTTAAGCAAGATGGGGTGTTTTCTT